GCTCAAAACGCGTCTAGAGTTTTGGCCGCCTCCACCGGTCCACTGGCCCACTGTGGCAGGCCGGGCCGGCCGAGGCACATCTTCATCCGCTCGCCTCGGCTCTTACATTGTCGTGCCTTCTCTCGTACTTTAACTCTCTTTTTCTCCTCTAATTACTGTGCAGGTGGGCCGGCCCGGGCCGCCGCTGCTGTTGCCGGATTCTCGAAAACCATTACTACTCCCCGCTCCACTCCGCCATCCCGCACCTCCCCGCGCCGCCTTTCCCCACCTTGAAACGCCCTCGTGAAAGACCGAAGCATATTGCCACTAAAGCAGCTTCAATCATTTCCCCCCGTTGCCGCGAAGGGGCGTGGCCCTGTCGTTGCGAGGCGCTGGCGGGGCACGGCGGGGCCCTCGACGTCCACGTCCGGGGTGCGCGGCCGCGGCGGTGCGACCTCGCATGTATTGCCCTAAGGTCGGGGCACTGTGTCGAGAGTGTGTGCCGGCCTGCCGGGCCGTGGGGGGCCGCCGGCAGCCGCGCCCACTCCACTCGGCAGGTGCACGCGCTCGGAGTAACCGAGCAACGCGCAGCGACGGACCTCTCGGCTTTCGGCTGCTGCTCTGTATTAATCTGCGCGGCGAAAGCTTCGGGGAAAGCCAAGCCGCCGCAGAAGCCCGCTATAAACTCGATATCGCCCCGCTTGTCTCGATGACGACGCGGTCTTCCGAACCGGGACAATCGAAGCGCGCGTGCGTGTGTGTGTGTGCGTGTGTGTGCGTGTGTGCGTGCGTGCGTGCGTGCGTGCGTGCGTGCGTGCGTGCGTGACAACAACGCCCTCTGGCGCGACGCGGCCGGCCGTGGACACGACACGCGCGGCTTCTGTTTTGGTGCGCGATGCAAATTCCGAATTCGCGCGCGCCGCCGCAGTCAGGGGGGCACGGCGTCACCGCCAACGTCAACACCGTCGTCACGGTGGCACCGTTGGTGGCCGTCGGTCGCCAGTGCTGCAGTCATCTCTCTCTCTCTCTCGCCCGTAAAGAACGCGCCGTGAGTGCGAGAACGAAGCAGCGGCGAAGACGACTCTCGGAATCAGTCTGTCCGCTGTTGGCGGTAAATTGGCGCGTGCACTTGGCACCTTTGTGCTGCTTGTCGCTCTTGTTGGGCGGGGCGGGGCGGGGCGGGGCCCGCCTCGGCGCCGCGCCTCGGCCGGCACGGTAACCAAATGAACTCGCACACACCGCGACGCGGCGTCACTCCGCGTAAAGTACAGCCAGTCCCACAACGCCGTTCGTCCCGCTCCGACTTGTCAAGCGCCAAACTTGCAGGAGGCGGGGCACGCTGGCGCGCTTCGCCCCAGACTTCTCCCAGAGCGTCGTGCTCTCGGCGTGGCGCTCCGGGACTCGGGGAAGTTTCGCCTCGTTGTCTCCGAGCGCGCGCCGCGGCCGTGTGCTGCAGCAGCAGACTGATTCCGAGAGTCGTTTTCGTCGCTGTGTCTCTCTCGCACTCATGGGGCGTCCCTTATAGAGAGACAGAGCGACGAAAAGGACTCTCGGATTCAGTCTTCAGTCTGACGCAAGCGCGGTGTCGATGCAAAACTTTGGCGATGGAGTGTACTCGCGCGGCCCCCCCGGCCCCCACGTGGGAACAGTGTACAGTCTGGGTCGGCAGTGTCATACATCGGCTTCATTCCAATTCCACCTTCCGCCCCGCCGGTGGGTGTGTGCGGTGTTCGGGGCGGGGCGGGGCGGGGCGAGCCGGACAGGCCCACTGTGGGCCGTCGCCGTGGCGACGAGGCGACGGGCCGACCAGCCAGCCGATGACGTACTCGATGCATTTTTCATTAACGCGCCTGGGAGGTAGGCCAGCAGTGCCAGCAGGCAGGCCGCCGCCTCAAAACAGGTCTCATAAAAACGGCGCCATTTCATAACTTTTTTTTTTGCGGTGTGGGCGTGAAAGTGGGCCGAGAATAGTCCGCGATACGGCGTATTGTTTTGGGCGTAGGTGGCGCGATATTGGAAAGGCGCGCACCCTCGGCAGCAGATGGGGCGTCGCGCGGCCAGGCGGGCAGGCAGGGGGCAGGGCGATACAGCGCCCCATCACGCGGAGGCACTACGTGACTTCGCCACGGCACGCCGCACAGTGGGCCGAGCTCCAGAGTCGCTAAATGGGACTCGAACCGAACGTGTGACCCCACCAATGGATTGCTCTCCGAGAGAGTTCTGGCCCACTGTGCGCACGGGGGAGGGAAAGTCGGTCCGATGTGGGTGTGGTGTGATTGCGGTTTCATTTGCAACAAGCGGGAAAAGGGGGGGGGGTCCTAATTACGCACGCATCGCGTCACTGAAATGGACCCGCAGCGCTCGAAAAGTAATTACCGCGTGTAAAAAACAATAAAAATTAAAAAGTGCAGTTGCGTCATCTTCCGGCGGCGGCGGCGGGACTCGAACCGGGACCGCGCGAACGCGCGAACTCGGCGCCGCCGCGCCGGAAGCTTGGCGGAGAGCAACGCGCGTTTTCTCGGCCGCGTTAAAAAATGGACACGGCTGGGCTGGCGCCGTTGGCAGTGCGGTGGCGGCTTGCGTCACCTCTTTATCACAGGGTCAGGGTCACTCGGCCCGAAACCGCGAGCCGTCTACCGCGTACCGCTGCCGAGCGGTACCACGGCCAGCCAGGGGGAGAGTAAAAATGAAGCCATTTAACAATGTCCGCGGAGCGCGTTGGAGGGCGCGTTCCCTATGCCAATGGACCGCGCGGTCCGAAAGTCTGTCTCTCTCGCACTCGTGGCGCGCCCCGTAGAGGTGCGAGAGGGACAGAGCGACGACTCTCGGAATCAGTCTGCCGCTCTGATTGAGATGCTGGCCGGGGAAGTCCAATTCCCTTTCCTGTCACGTCCAGGCCTTCGGGCCGGGCCCTCGACAGGGATTGGCTGGGCCTGGCCCCGGTGGTCGTGGTGGTCACTATGGGCCTACACTGGCCTACACGAACGCAGGCACACCTGCCTCCCGAACCCATCAATCAGACGACTGGTCGCCCGCCGTCTCTCTCGCGCCCCGCTACGGGGCGGCCCACGAGTGCGAGAGAGACAGGGCGACGAGGGACGGGGGCAGCGTATTACTGCAGAGACACGGCCTAGATCTGGGCGACGGGGACACGGCGGGCGAGGGCTGGGAAACACAGCCCATCAAGGTGTGGCTTTCATTCATTTTTCAGACCGCGGCCCACACGCGTGTCCGAACGGCGGCGCGCTGCGACCGCCTGCCGCTCTGTCTCTCTCGCACCCTTACGGAGAGCCCTGCGAGTGCGAGAGAGACAGAGCGACGGGTGCTGCCGGGGCTGCCCAAGGCCCTTACCGATAAGACCGCTCCTCTCACGTAATCTGCCGGCACTTATTTCTATTACTATCCGAACCTGCGGTGCGGTGTCACCGGACGGGCCGGCGGGCTGCCACTCTCGAGAGGGCTCTGCTTTTTGCTTTTCCTCGGCAACGCTGTAACGCTACACGCGACGACGCGACGCCAGGCAGAGAGGGGACCGAGACGCCCTGCCGGCACAACGACGTGCGAAGTGCCAAATTATGGTGATTTCTCGGTGACGAAAATTCGCACGCTTTGCCGGGTTGTCGAATTCGATTAGCGCCTTCTGGTGTAGTCTGCGGCCTTGGCCGGCCTTGGCCGCCGAGCGGATGGACGCTGCACACGGAAAAAAAGGATTAGTTGTGACAACTAACATGTTAGTTGAAAAGCGTCCAAAGAAGATTTTAGTTTTCACGACTAAAAGTTTGCTGCTCGAACGAATTTATAAGTTGGAACGACTAAAAAACTACAGTTGGCTCAAGGATAAAGTTGATTGTGCCTACACTATGTTAGTTGTGATGACTAACATGAGCGTCACGAGAGAAAAGAAGCTTCGTATAAGAAAAACCTTCAACGGGTATCGATCGCGGAATCTGTGATCTGAGAGCTGCTGAGGCTATCCACTGCGCTGTGGTGAGCTGATAGCGGGAGAATGACCAATGACGCTGATACAGCAAACTGACCGATGCTAGGACAAGCGACGATTAAATGATCGCCCGAAAGTCGGGTCTCCTAAGAATGTCCGCAGCGCAGTGGGCAGCGTCTCTGATTGACAAGCGACAGGTCCTAAGTTCGATTCCCGCCGCAGATTTTTTTTCTGTGCGTGGTTTATTTTCTTCCGTGACGGTCGTGTTAATCCTTACAACTAACATTGTGTAGGCACAATCAACTTTATCCTTGAGCCAACTGTAGTTTTTTAGTCGTTCCAACTTATAAATTCGTTCGAGCAGCAAACTTTTAGTCGTGGAAACTAAAATCTTCTTTGGACGCTTTTCAACTAACATGTTAGTTGTCACAACTAATCCTTTTTTTCCGTGCAGGATTCGGACTTACGGCAGCCATTATTTTCACTTTCAGGCGTCGGTTTATTTTCCCGGCCGAGAACGAGCACACAGATTTCCATTCCTACTTATGACACGATTTTGAAAAGAACCCTGCGATCACACACCCAGTAAGCTCCGGCACGTGAATGGGAAGAGCCATCTTCGCCCAAACCATGTCTGAACTTAGACTTTGAAGCTGGCGGCGTAGAGACAGCAAGGTGACTCGCGCCTTTTCACTTTCCTCGAACAACGTTGCTTTTCTTTTCCGCTACGCCCAGAGCAGACTCGGGCCTACTCGACGGCATGAGGCCGCGTGAGGCGAGACGCTCAACAGGTCCAAAGTGTGCTAAAATAGCCGTCCGCCGCAAGGTGGGCTCCTGGCGGACGCGAACCAGGCCGTCCGCGCGTACGCGTCCACGATGCATTTCAAATCGCGGTGCGCTCCTCGGCGAGCCGCGCCGCCGCACGCCCTTAGGCCGCGGACACCGCGACGCCGCGCGCCGCCGCCGTCAGCTGTTCCCCCCACCCCTCGGGGGCCGCGGCGTCGAACAGCTGACGGCCTGCTGACGCCGTGCCCGCCGTGCCCGTGGACGCCGTCCTGGCGGTCGCTTCGTCGGTACTGACCTTGTTGAGGCGGGGGTCCCTCAGGTGGTCCAGGCCGCAGGCGCGGTTGGAGCTGTCGGCGTGGTCCAGGCTCACGTGGGCGAGGCGGTCCTTGAGCTGGTCGGCCATGGCGGTGCTGTTGGCGGACCTGGGGCGGCAAAACACACTGGCTTCACTTCGATGTCGGCGTCCTCGTCGTCCTCTGCGTGCTGCTACACTGCTGCTACGCGAACGCCGGTGTCCCGACTGGCGGCATGGGGCTAGCGGCGCGCGGGCAGACTTCACTCTGCGGCCCAGCGCGGCTCCCCCTCCCACCGCCCCGCCCCTGCGGCCCCCACCACGCGCAACCCCACCGCCCCCACGGCCCCGCCCCCCGCGTCCCCATCACGCTGGGCCCTTGTTGGAGGCCTCGGGGGCGCACGGCGGGGCAGCCTAGGGCGCCAAGTAGTGCCCCATCGAGTACCTCGGGCACCCAATCAAGACGGTCCACGTCCCCCCGCCTCCTCCCCAGCCGTTATCATCATCATGATGTAACGTGGGGGGTTTTAGGTACCGCAGGGGATAGACGGGGAGGGGGGAGTTGGCCTAGGCAAAGCGAGGCGAAGCAAGGCGTAGTGCCTACGGCCTACGCGACTCCGCGTTGGGGAAGGTCAGAGCCAAATACACAAACGGAAATAGCAGCAGTGCCTGCACTGGTAAAACTGAGTGAAACTGAAGTGAGCTTGAAGGCCGGACGCACAGTGAGTGGGCCAGAAGACCGGTGGAGGCGGACGAAACTCTAGACGCGTTTAGAGCTCCAGAGTCGCTAAACGGCGTTATGTTGCGGCTCAGTTTTACCAGTGCCGCAGTGAGCCGGTCGTGTCGGGGGGGCGTCGAGGACGTCGATTTCCGATCCCACGACGAGTCCCTGGGGCAGCAATTAGCTGTCGAGTGGTCATAGTACTTCCGTGACATTCAACTTGCCGTTATCGTCAATGTAATCAGTTAGCAATTACTCTTGCAGGGGCTGTGATGGCGATTACGGTCGATGAGGCAATGAGACACTGGAAACCGAGTACCAAGTACAGGGCACTAAAGGGATTTTTCAGTGTGGCAGCCGAAAGCGGAGGACTACACTGTAAAAAATTCCGTACTTTTGTACGGAATTGGTACGGAGAAAAGTACGGAACGTTCCGTACTTTCCGAACGTTCGCCCCACTGCGCCCGTCGCTCCGAAATCCCAGAAAGCACAGAAAGGCCAGAAGAGGAATTCTTCCACTGTGCCGCACTCGGACGCGCGTCCCTGTTTGGATAGGGCGCGGAAGGAATCGCGAAAAGCACGGAGGTGTCCCAGCATAGCAGACCGACTCCGAGAGTCGTTCTCGTCGCTCTGTGTCTCTCTCACTCATGGGGCGCCCCGTATAGGTGCGAGAGAGAGAGAATGAGCGACGAAAACGACTCGCAGGCAGTATAGGCCCTTCTCCGGGAGTGGAAACTGCCCTCCATGAGGAGACGGGGCCCGGAGAAATGGAAGGGAAGAGAGAGGGAGGCGGGGGAGGGGAAGGGAGGGGAAGGGAGGGGGAGGGGCAAAGCCGACGTCACAGACTGCGGTCAGCTGTTTGGATTTCCGCCGTGAGCAAGCCGGTGCGCGCTGTGCGTAATCGGCGGGGCGTGGCCGAAAGGAAAGAACGCGCCAATTATTTCGAGATACTACTACCTAAGACAGAATGGCCCGGGTTCGAATCCCCGTTTAGTTGAACATGTTTATGTTCCCACGATTTTTTTATTTATTGATTTTTTTTTTGCGATTAGCACTTTCTGCGCCCTGGGACTCATTGTGCGCGGCTCGCTCACAAGCCGGCTCCTCTCTCTCTTTCACCAAGGTAAGGTGCCCACGACCTGATTGACTCCCAGTGCAGTGGTTGTCAGACGGGGTGACTCAGCCCGTCTCATTACTCAGTCTGGCTAGTCTGCCGAGCCGTTCCGTCTCTGTCGCACTCGCGGGGCACTGCGAAAGGGTGCGAGAGGGACAGAGTCGGCTGGCCACCCGCCGCCTGTCGACCGATTCCGAGAGTCGTTTTCGTCGCCCTGCCTCTGTCGCTCTCTTGAGCGGCGGCCCAGATGGGTGCGAGGGAGACAGAGCGACGAACACGACTCTCGGAATGAGTCTGCTGCAGGCGGGCAGGGCGGGCAGGGCAGGGCCGCCACTGCCTTCAAAATGTTGGATAAACACAACTGGAGCGGGGAAACGGAATGGCCGAATGGCCGACGGGCTGCTCAGGTGCGACGGGCCCCGACGGCATTTGCATTTAAATGATAATACAGCAGACTGATTCCGAGAGTCGTCGCTCTGTCTCTCTCGCACCTAAACGGGACGCCCCATGGGTGCGAGAGAGACGGAGCGACGAAAACGACTCTCGGAATCAGTCTGCAGCACAACCGAGGCTGCGCGAGGCTGGCGGGGGCGTCCGCCGTACAGTAGCGCCCTCGCCCTCTATCACCACGCCGTCGCACTGCATGGCCAGCAGGCTGATTCCGAGAGTCGTCGCTCTGTCTCTCTCGCACTCATGGGGCGTGCGGTATAGGTGCGAGAGAGACAGAGCGACGACTCTCGGAATCAGTGTGCAGGCCGCGGGCATCGGGGCGCGCACGGGCCGCGCGCGGGTTGTCATGGGTCGTCGTCGTGCGCCGTGTTCGAACGGCGGCCCCGGGCCGGGCGGGTAAGGCGGGGTCCTCCGTGGGATCCCCGTGGGCCCTCCGTGGGCCCTCCGTGGGCCCGGCGTGGCGTGCCAGCTTTCTCCGCGCGGCGCGCAGGGGCGGTGCGTGGACCGGTGGCCCGGGGCGGCCGGGGCGGCCCGGGGCACGCAAGTGTTATTAATGGAAAAGGAGTCCACGGCCAGGCCATGGGCCGCCATGGGCAGCCCGGACAAGTGCGCCGAATCGGCCACAGCAGCGCGTTTACAACAGCCCAGCCAGCACACTGATTCCGAGTCGTTTTCGTCGCTCTGTCTCTCTCGCACCTACGAGGGACGCCCTTTGAGCCTGCAGGCCTCCAGCCGCCAATGGGCGCGACGTGACTGTGAGGCCGCGGGGCGCGGGCACCAGGCAGGCACCAGGCAGGCAGGCGCCGTCTCGTCCGCCACGGCCCGCCGATAGGCACATGTACGCGGGTCAAGCGTGTCGGTCTGCCGAGTCGTGTTCGTCGCTCTGTCTCTCTCGCACCTGTACAGTGCCGCCCATGAGTGCGAGAGAGACAGAGCGGCGAAAACGACTCTCGGAATCAGTCCGCAGGGAACTATTAGATTGCGCTACGGACGGCCCGCACCGCACGGCGCACAGCAACGCGGCGTTACGTAACAATGTGCACGTGCCCGACAATACGCCCCGCCAACAATGCGCGCACGCCTGGGGCACGCCGCGGGTGCGACAGAGACGGAGCGACGGTCGTCGTCGGCGCCCTCGTTCGAAACCATTCGAAACTTGCCGCCGAATCCGAGACCGCCGATTGGTCCGCGACGTGGACGGCTCCAATGGGGCAGCGCAGTGCCGGCAGTGGCAGTGCCACCACACCGGAAGTCCGGAAGCGCCGCTCGGCTGGATGAAAAATCGAGCGCGACAATGCAACCGGCCGTTTCCACCCTTTCTCCGCACTGGTAAAACAAGAGTGTGACATCATTTGTTTTACCAGTGTGAGTGCCGCACTGGGCCGCGTCTAGTATTTTTTTGGAGGTTTGTGCTGTTTGTTGTTTTTTTTGCGTTGTTTGTCTTGACTCGGATCCGATCACGCCGACGCTGCGCCGCGCCGTGCCTACGCCTGCTCCGCCACTGCCACGACGGCGGAGAGCGGAGCGGAGCGCGGTGACATGACGGTCCACAGGTCAGCACTCAGCCGGCGGATGGACACCACTTATCGGCGCCAGGAAGCGGCCAGGAGCACGGAGTCGCCCGGTGATCAAGCCGACCACGAAGCAATATAACTTTCACCAGAGACTAAATTTATTATTTTTTTGCGAAAAACTTCTGCCGTGGAGCACGGGAAACAGCAGTCCCAGGGTGTTAGTCTGGTGTAAAACACGCCTTGCAACAGGTGGGGTATTCGCGCGGGTGTTGGTATTCGTAGGCCTCATGTTGGTCTGAGGAGTTCAATGAGAGCGACAAGGACGTACCTCTTGGTGACCCAGTGGCTGGCCTCGGCGGGGCCCTCCAGGATCACGTCCTCGATGACGGGGCTGGCCGCGACCGCCGCGACCAGTGTGGCGGCAGTCACCTGGAGGGGCAGACAGACACGCACATCAGCTTGGCGGCAGGAAAGAAACGCTTGCTTTCTGGCCGCCGAGTGGGCAGGCAACCCAACGTGCCCGTCGCAGCGCCTTCTGGCTAGGCAGCCCAACTCACACGCCCGAAGCCTAAAACCTGGGGCCGGTGTGGAGTTCGACCGGGCCAGCTCGGGCTCGGCGGCGGGCGGTGCAGGCCACAGCTCGGCACGGCTAGTACCAACACCGGCCACCTCGCTCGGGTCAATATATTTTGTTTCATACACAATTTTAATTACTATCTTTGGAATGAGCCCGCATACTACCCCGTATAAGGAAACCAAACGAGTATTAACCGAGAAATTTGAAAGGGAAAAGAAAAAATTTGAACTCTACACCCCCTCCCCAGTCTTAATGGGGAGGCCTCCTGCTTTACTTCGGTGTTCGGGATGGGAACCGGTGCTATCAGGTACCTGGGGTTAATCCCGTCAGCGACCCTAAGCGTTCGCCGGGGGACCCAGTAGGACCCCAAAGCTCAGGCAGCTGGGTGAGAGCACCCAGTACGAAGCTCTTTGAGGGGCGGGACGTAGAGTGAGACGACAGAGAGACAGAGAGAGACTCAGACAGAGAAGAGGTTTGGTGGGAGCTTCTTGTTTTCGTAGGGTTGGTTGTGTACCCCATGGTACCCCCACTGTCCGGCGCTCCCGTACCGAACATACAGCGTTTTAGGCCAGCTTCAAAGGACTTATCATCGCCTCCCCGACAAGTCAAGGAGGCACCACCCGCAACCACACACCGGGTGGTCTGGATTGATGGATCAAATACTCCATCGCTCCAGTGCCGAGGCCAACCCGCCGAAGCGGATTGCTTTTTAGACACCCACAGCGGAGTGGCCAGGTGAATGTGACTCTGACCACTACGCTATCACGCTTGTACGTCTGGCAGCGTGTTGGACGACGGGTTTGAGTTGCACTGGGAGGAAGGCGGTTGAAAAATGTAATGAAATGATGGGATTCGATCCCCGGACCCCGCCCTTGGGATCACACGACTTTACGCTCTCGGCCACCACGGCCCATGATGAGGGGACCGGCATGAGGTGGGTTCTTGACGCAACAGGACTCGACCGACCCGGTCAAAATTTCGCAAGAAGTTGGGGGAGTCGAACCGCCGACCCTAGCACTCAGAACCGACGCCTCTACTCCCTGGACCACCACGCCCCATGCTCGGAGTGGGCTCACGTTTACGGGTTTGAACCGCACTGGGTGAGGCAGTAAAATTAAATGGAAATATTTGTTAGGAGTCGAACCTCCGGCATGTGGGCCTGTTGCACACGGCTCCGCTCTCATGGCCTCGAACCACCACCCTTAGGATAGCAAGTCGAAAAAACTTTTGTGACGCTGGTATTCGAACGCCGGCCTGCGGTAACTCGATCCCACGTCTCTAACCTCTCGGCTATCACAGCAGTTGTGAAACACGATGGATCATCTGCTTTCATTAACGTTCGTTGAATGAGATTTTTTAGTACGAACTCTGAACCTCAATCTGAACCCCTTCGTCGAGCTATTTACACTCAGGTAGGCCGCTACGCTGTGGCAACGAAAGCGTTGTTCCATCGTGAGCGTTTGGCAGCATCGCAGCTGATCCACCTCCAAGTGCTTTGAAATGCTTGTCGCTGGCCTTTAGCGCCTGTGAGGTAGGCCACCGGCCAGTCTAGCCACACACTGCTGTGGAGATGGCGGCCTACCTCGCCCCTGCACTCGCAAGGGGCAAGGTAGGCCACCGTCTGCACTCCGGTGCGTTGCGGGCCCCGTCGGTGGCCCACCTCACAGGCGCCAAAATGGGCTGAAAACGGGTTATTGCTTTTAATGGCTAGCATAGCACACGCCGTTCTACCGGCGTAGATCGTTTGTGTGCCTCTGTTTTGCCAGTGCAGTTGACTCACCACCGCGAGGTAGAGGGCCAGGGTGCCGGCCAGCCGGCTGGCGGCGAGGACGTTCATGGCGTCGGCGGTGAGGTGCTGGTCGTCCCTCCGCGGCACCACCAGTAGCACCTTTAGCGGCGCCCGCGGCCGAGAGACGCCTTATATACTATAGCCCAGCCGCCACTGCGTCGCTGGAGTCGGGACTGGGCGAGGGGGCCGCGGTGTCAGGGCACGACCCGGCCCCCCAGCCCGCCCCCCGGCCCGCGCAGACAAACCCACCAACCGGCACAGTCCGCGCCAAAACGCCCAGCCAACGGCGGCGCTACGCGCTCTGGGGGTGCTCCTAGGGGGTAGCAACGCGGGACGCGGTGGCTTGGGTACAGTCACCGGCAAAAGAGACGGCCCGTCGCTACTCCGCGCGACAGAGGCCGTCGTTGACGCACTCAGTGCGTGGGATATCGATGCCTCTCGATCCCCACTGATAACGCGCGCAGTGTACAGGTCAGCTTGGTCGGCGTGTGGGCGTTGGCCGCGTCGCGTGCGGTTTCTGCCCGGACTGTACCGGACCCGCGGGAGCGAGGGGCATGGCCGCAGGTCCGAACATCCTCACAGCAAAGTTGCATGCTGCGGGGCCACCGCCGTGTCCACCGTGTTGCCGCAAACTGCAGCCGGACTGGTCCGGACGCGACCTCGCCCTTTCCAGCTTTTTGGTCCCTTTGGAGCTAGCCTCCTCGTCCCGCGAGATATTTTAACTTTTCGACACTGTTTTCCGTCGGCGTGGGGGCGGGGCCTGTTGTCGCCGCTGATGAAGGCGTCAGAACACACACAACCTGTTGCTAGGTGGAGGATCTGCCGGCTTCGTGCTGGAGCCAAAGTAATGTTTGGTTTGCCTCGCCTCACGCCAGTTAAGTTTGCCCTCACACACACACGCCGGCATGGACTCACACACACACACGCCGAGTCAAGTGTCAACATCCATTACCTCTAGGCAGGGCAATGACTGCACGGCTCGGCGTGTATTCTGCCTCGCAAACATTATGCATGCCCGAGACGGGTCGCGGGTCCCGGGTTCGAACACCGAGAAGTGCAGTTCCCCTTTTTCCAGAGGTGTGTGGCGGCGGGGTGAAGGGCGTAGGGGCCTCCACCGTGAAGGGCATGATGACTGTCCAGGACACGGATCGCGGGGCGAATCCCCCCCCCCTTTCCCTCTCTCTCCTTTTGTTGCGAGACTCTTCAGTCCTTTTAAAGTGGACCCAATGAACAAATTTCAATTTCAATTACACACACTCGGGTGGCGTCTCTAGTGAGAGTGAGATAAAGACACGGCGACAGAAGTGCTAGGGTTGCGGAATCCCACGCCCTGGCTGCGTTTAGTCGTGACATCAAATTGAAGCGCGCACGCCAGTCATGTCACTGCGTGTCACTGCCTCGGTCTTGCCATGAGTTCGTCGGTCGTTCGAACCGAAGCCGCGAGCCGCGGCGTATCAGGTGGCGCCTTGTTGATGGTGTGATGCAAGTCCCCGCTGATTAAGTTCGGCCCGTCATCCCGGCCGGCCTTGCCAGTCTGCGAACCAGCAGGCTAATTCCGAGAGCCGTCTGTCTCTCTCGCACCTGTACGTTACGCTCCGCGAGTGCGAGAGAGACAGAGCAATCGGAGCGCGTGCCGGCGAGTTGCCTGTTGCCTACGCAGTCAGCCGCAGGCGTTGCCGCCGAACGGGGCGGGGCTGTCCGAAGGGCTGTCCGCTCTCAGCGCCGCGCGCGCGCCCCGGTGTCCGAATTTCGAGATTCCGATCATCAGACATTCCGATAATCGTCAATCGGGCTCGCGATTAGCTTTCAACACACTCTCGAGCGTCATTCGCACATTCCCGCCCGTCCTCGTGCTCTCTCTCTTTCTCTCTCTTTCTTTCGCACCTGCCCGGCGGCGCCCTTATCAGGGCGGCCCCGACACCTCTATGTTCGATTGCATTGATGCCCGCGGTGGGCAGTGCCTGCAGTACCTGCTTTGGCGGTGCACTGGCGTGAGCGCGACGCGTTTTCAGACAACTCAGACAACATGGGCTGCATGTGTGCCAAGTCGGAGCCGCTCAGCAGCGCCAGCAACGGCGGTCTGGGCATCCAGAACAAAGGTAGGCCCACCGGTCTATAACGTAAACAGTGATAAAGTTTCAATTTCACTGAAAAGGAAAGGAAGAAAGTTGCGGGGATTTGAACCCTCGGGCGTTTCCCTTCCAGTGTACGACGGGCCGAAGCCCGTCCTGTACTACCTGAGCGCCTCGCCGCCCTGCCGCTCCGTGCTGGTGACCGCGCGCCAAATCGGATTGGACCTGGACATCCGCACCGTCAACATCCTGGCCGGCGAGCACCTCGCCGAGGACTTCGTCAAGGTAACGCGGCACGAGGCGCGGCTCATTTTAGGTGTACACAAAATTACGAGATCACCCGAATTTTACTGGGGATTCCACATGAAATTTTTGAAAATTGGTTCAAAAACGTTAAAAAAGAAGAAAGTTGCCTACCTACAGAGGCAAAGTGCGGCTTTTTGCCTACTTTTCGGGCGACCCGCTGCCTTCTGGAGCAGGCACAGCCTCCATCTCCCCCTGGACCAGCTGACTTGGCTTTCAGCAGAACCTCCTCTCAGGAAAGGCGCACTGTATGTTTCAGTTGAACCCCGAGCACACTATACCCACACTCGACGACGGCGGCTTCGTCCTGTGGGAAAGGTACGCCATTCTCTTACAGTGTCCCGCACTTGTTTCCTGGGAAAACAAAGGTTTTTTTTAACTCGGCCTTGTTTGGCTCCAGCCGTGCCATCTGCACGTACCTCGTGACCAAGTACGCGGCCCGCGACGACCTGTACCCCAAGGACGAGAAGAAGAGAGCCATGGTGGACCGTAGGCTGTACTTCGACGCCACCACACTGTACGGCGCCATCATCAGCCTCACAGTGAGTGTCCCTGCAGCCCGGTTCCGAGAGTCGTTTTCGTCGCTCTGCCTCTCTCGCACTCATGGGGTGTCCCGTGTGGGTGCGAGAGAGACAGAGCGACGAAAACGACTCTTGCATAGAGTCATCTGACGCGGGTTCAAATACTGGTCAATCTGGTTTTGCAACAATTCATTTTTCTCACGCTTCGCTTGCTCGGCTGTCTCGTTTAGAAACCCATCATCATGCGGGTGGAGACGCAAGCGACCGAGGCGAAGAAGAAGCCCGTCCTGGACGCGCTGCAGCAGCTCGAGAAGTACCTGGCGGACTCGGCGTGGGTGGCGGGGGACAGCCTCACCGTGGCGGACACGGTCATCGTGGCCTCGGTGGCCAGCGCGCAGGTAACCAACCGACCAGTCCCCCGAATTCAATCGATCAATTTTTCGGGCGTGTTTTTCTATGTGGATAAAATCTGTGTGCAGGCGATCGGCGTGGACCTGGCGCAGTACCCCAACATCGCGGGCTGGTTCGAGCGGTGCAAGACCCAGCTGCGGGGCTTCCAGGAGAACGCCGAGGGCGCCGCCATGTACGGCCAGTTCGTGCAAAGCCTGCTCGGGGCGCCGGCCTTCCCCTAGGTCTGCCCTCCTGCCCTGTCCCCCCTCTACCTCCCCCCAGGTGCGGATCCAGGATTCGTGTAAGGAGAGGATGACGCGGCGCTTTTTGCCTACTTGCAGAGTGAGGTTTGCCTACCTTCCCATCAGCCAGATTACGCGAGTCGTTTCTGCCGCTGTCTCGCTCGCACCCATAGGGGACGCCCCATGAGAGCGAGAGAGACAGAGCGACGAAAAACGACTCTCGGAATGAGTCTGCAGACGGCTTCCGTCCAAGGAGGGGGTAGTTGCCCCCTTTGCAGCGCCCTGGATCCGCTCCTCCCTTTTCCTTCCCAGCCCCCTTGTCGTTGATCTGTTTCTCCTCACAGACGACAGTGCGCACTGTGGTTTCTGAGGTCAGTGTAAATAATAAACCAGAAAAAATTACATCTTTGTATTTATTATCACATTAAAAGCCAAAGGAAATGTCCTTGCGTCACAAAATTAAAGGAGGCTTGATTAAATTGGTAGCTCACAATTTATTTAAGGCAGAAGAGTCGCAAACCAGAGCTAATCTTAGCGTAACAGTAAAGGAATCAACAATGAAGCGTTTGAGGTAAGATAATACTGAATTCTTTGATGACTTAATGATGATAAGGCTGACAAAAGCATGATTCACTGGAAGTTTGATGGAGATTGCCTTAATAGTACAAACATGATTTAAAAAGCAAAGCAAGTTTAAAATAGTTTTGATGACTAGTTCCATTGCTGAGTGCAGTAGAAACAAGAAAGACTGGATTTGTCAACTCCCCAATTCATCTTTTATCCTTAAATTTTGAAGAAACCTACATACTGGTAGGTCTTTTAGCAAATTGCTCAATAGTGTCAACAAAATCAACTTGCCATTTAAACACCAATAAAATGTGGAAACTTGGCCAAAACAAGCACATGACACGTGACATATAGACTAGATGTAGAAAACCTTACACAAGATGTCCTTTACAAAAATGTGACATGCTGCTGCTCATCTGTAACACTGGATAAAATTTCCCAGATCTTAAATAGAGAAGCAGTCATTGGCCACTATAAAGACAAAATACCTTAGGAACAAAGCTATCTAGCAACAAAAAGAACTTTAATTTTCTCTTAGTGAAAGAAATTTGCCACTTTCCCTAAACAACTTACCACTTAAACAACTAACAATAGCATCTTTCATACATTGACTTCCTTCTTACGAGACAAATTTACACAGGACCAAAAGGCACAGCACATTTACAGCTAGTATTGCAGTTGCAGTGAGGTATCGAGCGAATGTGCATTATTATTACAAGTGTAGGAAAAATATTGAGGTAAACTTGCACCATTTAACAGTATAAAAGCAAAGTCTGTTTGAAGATTTCAATACAAAGGCCTCACATAATGAGACTATAACTTCAAACATTTCAAGAGTAAAACAGTCGTTAACACTATTTCTAAGTATCTCTCTTTACCTCAATGCAGTATTATGACTACTTCACTGCTCCTTCAACTTCAATAGAAATATGGTACAGGATTTAAATTTTAAATGAAAAATCTCAGTCAAATTTGCACAAACCATTGGAATAAGTTGAACTTAAAATTTTAATCCTCCCAAAACATTAGAACCTTTTGCTGTCAAATATATTTGGTCAACATAATTACTTCAATGTTGCGTATTTAAGGTAGATCCAACATTGAACAAAAGCCCTTTACATGATGCAACTGTAGATTACAAAATGTTCAGGATGAAACATAGCACTTTCAATAGGAGAATTTATGACTTGGTCGGCTGATATGAACTATCAGCAGAGAAGTTGAATGAAGACTTTGTACAACTGTTTAAAAGGTTATCTTAGGGAGGACAACTAACACAACATACACATAAGGAAAATGTGGCAAGGTTTTCATACACAACCAAAATTAGATGGCTTTCATAATTTTTTAAATGTTATCTTTCACATATAACTAATGGGGGTTACACTCTTAAAAATAATTGTGCACCAAATCTCACGTGTTCCTGCATAACTCCACACATTGACTAGAGAAATAGGAGTATCATGCGGAAATACAGTAATCAGCTAGCGAGTTATTAACAACTGAGAGCAGTGACAATCAGTGGAAATCTCACTCATACATTGTAAATTACAACCAATCCTTAAAGATGCAGCTTTACATCTTAATGCATGATTCATACAGCTACTCATCCAACCACTAGAAAATAGAATGAGTCATTAATAGCTTTTCGATCCAGAATTTTAAAAATACAAGTTCATTAACTGGAAAATGACTGAAACTTGAGAAATTATAAAAAAGTTGATTGGATTCAAATTAGAACAGAATAACTTATTGACTATACTTTCAGATTGAAGAGCTTACAAAAAGGCTAACACTTAATCATATCTGACTTATTTAAAAATATTTTTATCCGCAAAAAGAGAGTTAAGGACTCTAAGAGAGTTAAGATGATTGGATAATTCACAAGGAATCACAAAAAAGCATTCTCTCTACAGCACACATAAACTCTCACACAAATTTCGCAGGAGGAAACAAGTTGGCAATGGGTGTTGGTACGTTGGGGAAAAATTACATTCATTTGAAACAAAATGGAGAGGGCAAAACAACTTTGCAGTTCACTGAGATCTATGGAAATTAAAAAGAGGAGGGTTCAATTTTGTGGAATGGTACATGGCCGTTATGGACAGCTAAAATAAAAATGTATTGAACAGAAAATCTGACAAGCAAACACACCGGTTGAATTCAAGTCATGATTTCCTACCCAAAACAATTTCTACAGCAGTCAATTGAAACATTTAAATATGCATCACTCCCAACGAAAAGCTCAAGGACAAGCAGCACCATCTCGTAGCCTTCGGTATTTGCAGATTCAGCAAAGTACATCTGACACATAACTTTGGGTCTAACCAGGTATTCAAAAGAAATGGCACACTTCACAAAAGTCACTCAGAAATGGAAACTACTAAGTTACTATTTAAAATAAAAAATAAACAATCATTAAGATACAGAATATCATCAAGAGCACTGCTCCAAAGCTAAAACAATTATCACTGAAGAGTGAATACATTCACAAAATTCCAACAGAAACTATAAAAGTGTTTACAAAAATAAAAATAACAAAATAAATTATCACATCCGCCTATTGAGTCAACCCTACTCCAGGTCTTGTCCTTATTCTGCTTTACATTAGAAACAAACGACATCAAAGGAACCTTTCCAAGAGAAAAGGAAACATAAGAAAACCACAACAGTATGACAGTCAAATCTACCACTGGTAAAATGGCAATTGGCACTTTTTGTGTAACAAGCACGCTTGGCTGCCAATGTGAGCCCTCACAATAAAAAAAATATGCAAGCTATCTGTTGAGGCTAAGATACACACAACGATAATATTGCAATAAGTGGAAAGATCTATACTTTTTTTTTGCAAAGTCCCCACCCCATTCATGCATTCTCGGATACACAATAAAAATGGTCCAAAGATCAGACACCATAGGAGTATTCACAACATGAGATAAAGTCAGCGCCAAATTATAGCAAAAGAAGCATTGATGACCGATTATGACATTCTACAGTGGCAGAATAGAGGTCAGTTGGCGCCAGCTGCAACATCTTGGATGGGTTGAAGTGGCTGTTGCTGGTGGCTGGGACCATTCATGACAGGTATTGCTCCATTCCCTACTTGTCCGGGTTCTCGACGAGCTAGTTTGGACCTAAATTGCAAAAATTTAAGGAGTGTGAAAAGTTTGTTGGTTTAACACAACAAGATATTATACAATAATAGAACAAAGGATTGCATCTCACCTGATCTGCCCGGCGAGCAGTGGGTTGATAGCATACAACCAATCATGTAACTCCCTATCACTCAAAGTTTGCATGATGAACGAGCGGTGCTTGGTAGTCATGCTAGAAAAACCAAGGGTAGGACATTTGTGAAAACTTTGAAACCATTTAATAATAAATGATAGCAACCTAGTGAAAATAGGTACCTGAAAGAGTTTGGAATTTTAGATCTTTGTTCCTCTGAGAAATCAACCTGAGCTGTGGCTAGGTTGATTAAAGTTCGCTCAACTGGATCCTTTTCACTTCGGAAGATAAAGACATAGGGGCGCCGTACAGCCTGTAGGACAGAAGTATGTTTTGAATTGAAATACAGTAAATAAAAAATATTTATATATTCCTATTGGATTAAGTGTACTTACAACCCATCTCTTCTTCCAGCTGCCTGTGTTGTGTTCTAAGATATTCAAATAACCCTTGCGAGCAATGACAGGACTAATGCGGATTTCCTCCATCTCAGGAACGTACAGCACTAACTGATCCCGACATGGGGAAGATGCACCACTTGTTGGTGATTGGGGATGAATACCATTCAAATACAAGCTATCACTTGGACAGGTGCTATCAGGCCCTGGAAGAGCTCTTGAGGCTCGATCAGGTGAGAAGAGACTAGAAAATGAAGACAGTTGGTTAAAATTATAATGAAGTGCTTGCCTAAGGGCAATAATTAATAATATGCTTACTCCTGAGAGGCTGTTGAAGACATGCAAGAGGACATGTCGGTCGGCTCATCACCAGGGGATAAGTCTATCTTTGGCATTGGAAGATCCTTGTTAGGTATGCGCCCTTGAATTAACTTGACGCACTTCATCGTTAGTTCCCTTTCTCGGTCTGTCATTTCCCACGGCTCATAAACCGACTCATCAGGACTCTTGAGCTTGACAGGACTCGCGTGCCCCTCAGCATTAGCCTTAGCAACCATGTTGCACACCTCCTGCAAATGTAGTAAATATGTTTATGCAGGGAGAAAAGGTGGGTGAGAAACACAGAACCTTCTGTTTTTAGCTTACCTTTTCTGATTTGGTAAAATCATGCAACCTTGGATGAGGTGGCTGAGCCCGGTCAATTCCCAATCGCTCACGAAGTAGCAGCAGATGCCTCATCTTTTCCACTTCTTCTAACCTAGTTAGCTTCTCCAATTCCCATTGATGATCAAAAATTAGGGAATCCCCACGTGGTCTCCATCCATGCAAATTCTCTTCTCCTCTGACATAAGTCATACTAGTATCCAGCACACGACGCTGTCTCCTTTGAACACCTGAGAATTGACAAGCATATCATGTTTCAATAATGAATTGATCATTATGGAATATATTTTATTCCAGTCACAGTGCAAGGTCTCATTTATTTATTGTTTTTTTTTGTTTTTTTTTTTCAAATTTGAGTTATTTTAACTAAAAACATGTCTCAGGAACAATGTACAAAATTTAATTAGTTGAATTCTACTGAAGGCATTGGCACTTCATGGTCTATTGGGCTACAAATTAGGCTGCTAAACCAACCAGTGGATTAAATCCATGCATTGTAATGGTCCTAGGTAGGGTTCAATTTAAGATTGCAAAAGACAACTGGGGCAAAACAAAGATGGGATAGTTAAGTCAAATACTAATTTAAAATTTAAGGTGGTGTGCATCTAATGCACCAATATACTAACTTCTAATTGGAAATACTCCAGCTCATATGCCTTTAAAACTACGCACTTTCAGGGAACTTGGATACATGTCAGAGCTCAAAACAAACCAAGCTCAAGGACTGCTTGAAAAAAAATAATCACAAAATTGTTTATGGAAAAACTAAACCATGCAGTTAACTAGTAAAATCCACACAAAACCGGGGCATCAAGGTTGCTAGTCTTAACTTGACATAACATCATGCTACACTATTCAGACTAGAAGAGCTAGCCACAATACAGCTCAGAGTGAAATCTATACTTGATTTGAAGAGATTCTGATAATTTCCAGACTGTTTTGGGAGAAAACTTCAGTTCCATTCGATGACACATTCCAATAGTATCAGAAATGGCCTAGATAACACTAAACTTTCATGGGCAGCAAGCTGTATAGACATGCTTTTTACTGCAAAGACTCCAACTTGATTGCAGATGGACATCATGAGCAGAGATCTGCGATAATCTTGAACACCACATTAAACACAAACCGTATCGAACATTAATGGGGACAACACACATTTGGAAACAAAGCATGGTTGATGGTTGATTCTTTTTGAAAATTAACGTCATGTGTTAATTAAAAATGTTTCATTATTGTTTGTTTTCCATATTCTTTTTTTCATCTTTAAACTTAATAACATTTTTAAAGATTCACTCCTCATGCAATCAGCCTCTACATCTAGGTCCATCTAATGCGATGCAACAAACCTGGGCTACCTGCATCAGAAGCTCTTCTCAGCAACAGTTCATAAACACCAGTAAGACGGTTGGCCTCCATGTTGCGATAGTTCCCCGTGAAAAGATGTTTGAGTGATCTGGGTCCAGTGCGCGCATCTCGTCCATATATGACCATGCTCAGATCCTTTGTGATGATTGCAGGTCTTCCACAATTTTCCAGCTGTAACAAGTCAAATTGTTTCCATACATTCGAAACATTCAGCACTCCAATATGTAAAGGGAGACCATCAGTAATCAGAAATGTACCTCCATATATGCAGATATTGTCAAGAAAATATGTTCCCCATAAGGAGTAACTCGGTTTAACAATGGGGAATTGTGAAGGGAGCTGTCCCATGCTGCTTCAAATCTGAACACACAACGATCTTCCCCAGGAAGTTCCAAGTATTCCCCAGGGAACAGTCCCAGAGAGAGAACAGAGCTGTCACTGTCCTCCTCTTCTGGTTCCGGAGTGTTGCGGATGCGACCTAAGGATATTGGCGCACAGTTTATAGTGGAGGCTAGCTCACAGAGTCTCGAATGAGTGCAACGTTTTTAGTTTTAACTAGAACAACTCACCAACAACAAGTTCCCGCACATCTCGCCAACGCAGTTCATTAGCCATTTCGTGGACGATGGTGACGCGAATGCGCCGTTGAATGCCCTGGTGCAGGAGAAACAAGCCACGGCAAGGCAGTTCATCGCTGTGGTCGACCACAGTTGGAACATATTCGCCATTCGGACCTGGAATTGATTGTTAAATTAACAGGAGTTTATTTCATGAATTATTTTGAAAATAATCAGAACATTGACAGCGGCAGAGAGCTAAGTAGATTTACCTAGTTCACAAATTTCAAACCACACCAGCACATCATATTTTGAGTGAATGTGGCTGGTGCAGGGAGCTGGTGTGATGCCATACTTAGTTGAACGGACAGGAGGACTGATTGGAATGGAAGGGGGCTGCATGCGTTTTGGTGGAACTCGTACACTGTTGAAGAAAAAGAGGAGATTTAACACAAAAGTCTCAACTTGTGAGCAAAAGTAGCAAAGAATTAAAACTGTTTTCTTCCAGTACCTGTGGATGTCCTGCTTGGCATCTCGGTGAAGTGGGTGCTGCTGATAGTGGCCAAATACCTCAAACACTAGAGGTTGTGTTTTGAGATAATCCACAAAGGATTTGGTTACACTAACAGTTATCTACAAAGGCATGAAACACACAAAGTAGTACATTCAAGACAAAAGTGCAGCTATAAATAGGTGAGGAGGATACCCTTCACATTAGTTTGAAACTTACATTTTGAACATGGTAGAATCCAAGGGGCGCTCCTTTCCCAGTGTTCTTGACAGGCTCAGTGGAGAAAGCTTCATCATGTCGATGTAGGAAACTGTAATAAAATAGCATTTTTTTCCAATATAGCTCAACTAAAGGTCGGTTAAAACTATACTATTTTGAAAAATTAGGAGACTCACTTAAACTGGCAGAAAATATCAGCATATTCAGTACTGATGCCTACAGCTTGAAGAATGGTGACTCGGAATGTAAATTCTTTTCCCCCAACAAGGTGTTCGGGAATTTCATCGTCTTTTGTTTCAGGGACGAGTGAAAGATCGCCAACTCCATCACTTTTTTCTGACATCTCAGGAGCTTTTTAAGGAATTATAAGTTAGTTTACAAGTTTTAAGAGTAAAACTCAAATAATACACAAGATCCAAACTATTTACCTTCACTTTTTCCATCATGGCCCTCAACAAATCGTTCCTCCAAGCGCTCTGTAGTATTAGCTAGGAATGCATTTTTACTTTGGTAGCGTTTACCATTTGCAACCAGATCGTCATCAAAATTAATACGAGCTGATTGACGTACCCCACTGGAATGTTCAGTAGTTTCGTCATCTGAAAAATTTCAAAAACAAATAAAAAGGAATAAGATTACAAAGCAGAAAACTTTTCCTTAAACCCACAGAAGTATTGTGTGTGTTACTTACCCACAACAGCTTGGACAGCAACCCTAAGGTAACCTTTAACATCTCCTTTCTCATTGACCACAGCAACTTTATGAATAAGAGGCACTGGGTACATAAGGTTGCTCAGATACACAAATGCTCTGTAACAAAAAGAAAAACATTTTTATTTTTTTAAAATATAACTTACCATACATTACGTTTGGCAGGCAACAATGCTTCTGCTCATCTAAAAAACTTACCTGCCGACCATGCGGAACCAGGGGAACCGGTCATAAAATGGATCTCCGCCAGTCAGTGATTCTATATTGTAATCAGGGGATGTAGGAGAGAGCTCAGCTTCATTGTGGTACATTTCTCGCATTAACTCCAGCCGTTGCCTGAGGTAAAGAAAAAAAAACTTTTTTTGAGAAAAATTACAATGGAAACATCACAAGACAGAGTCTATCACAGAACAATCTTTCACTTCTTTTGCAGCTGGAAATAGCAACACATCTGGAGAAGTTACGATCAAAGCTGGTCCTTTAGAGAGCCAAACAAAGCACACTTACAATATGAGTAAATCAAGCTACATAAGGAACTGAAGAACAGACTTGATGTGCACATATACTCCGCTACAAACTAGAAACGTAAATTAAAATACTCATACAGTACAACTCTATGTGGCCATTAAAGCATAAATGATAAAGTTCCTCTGACATCATACAAGGTTTGCAAGATTTGTGCAGAAAATAAAACAAACATCAATTGAAAAATAAATTCTGCATCTGAATCAAGTGTTGCCCCTGGCGGGGTTTGCAGATGAAACAAAGACAAAACCAATTGCACTGTTTTTTCTTTTATAAAAAAATACCGGTTATGAGAAAAAAAAAGCAAGAGCGAGCTTGAAAGCAATCTAAGCCATAGAAGATTTCATTTAGCTATCTTCTTCACAGAAATAAATTGCAAGGTGACAACAAACATTACAAGATCTTGTCATAAGAAATCGATAATGCTGAAAATATGAAAGCAGAATCAGAAACATTACACAAAGATAGGATACATAATAAAAACAGATGACAGGAGAGACGAACATGCTGTAAGACAAGTGATGAATAAAATAAAAAGCATCAAATATAAAGCCAACAAGGCTCAATTTGTGTCCAGGTGAGAGCAGGAAGCAGGCTACAGTCTTGGGGGCTGAGACAGAAAATCAAAGTGCTGCAACAAAGCAATGCAACAATGCAAAGGCAGATGCAATGCACAAGGTGGAGCAGGCCGAACACCAGTTAGCCATAAAGGACCAACCTTGATGGCAACAGGATGGTTAAGGGCTTCTTATAAGAACACGGTGAGAAGCATTGGAAAAAGTCTTCTCGGCTCTGTTCTGGTGTCCCTGGGTCTGGACTAACGTCTTCATTGTAAATTTGGCGCATCAGTTCCAACCGGAGTCTACAAGGTAAAACAACGAGACTTTACCTCTGAGACCGGGGGTAGTTCAAACGATACTTCCATCAGAAAAAATGGAAGAGAGACATTTGTTTAAAGCTAGACCAAGTTAATGAATTTTTGGACGATATGCAGAGGCAAACAAGCGTGCCATAGAATTTAGTGCGTGTAAACTATGGTGAAAGAAAAACATTTGCAAAGTCTCCTTTTAAGTTTGTTGTGCATTACATGGCAAAATGCAGCAGGATCTACACTGCACTGCGTCCATACAACCAGGAATACGCTGATACTTTGAGAAATGAGCCTCAAGAGAGATGCAATTTTTATCACTGAGCAGATGACAAGTTTTACACACATCCGACCGAGTACACTTAAAATTTACAGAACTTGATCTACACGAGGGTTGAGGAAGACATGACCAGACTAAACGAGTAATGATCACATAGGGCTGCCCACTGAAAGCAAACAGAAGCTTGAACCCCTGGAACTACAGTACCTTAACTTGTCCAAAGTCCAATAGTGTGTGGCTCCATTCTTCAAGTCCAGTACTTCAACAGCAACAACTGTTCTTGGGAAGGGTCTTTCTTCATCATCATCATCGAGCAATGCTGAAGGAAGGAGATCAGGTGGTAGGGGAGAATACAGCGTGTCAGTCAATAGAGTGAACTGGAATTGAACCTGGGGGAAGAAACATTGTTTATCATATATGTTATTAACTCATGTTTTAATACTATTTTAAAGAAACAGTTATGATGACCAACCTTCTTTTTCAGCTCCACTGATATTGCATTAGCTTCTTTCAGAAACACAGCGTTGCCCCAAAGATCATCTCGTAATGAAGTAAATTGATGATATTTCCATTTGCGGTAACCCCATGCAGCTAGTTGGAATTCTCGATCAGACCAGTTGCATTCTGCGTCAAACAATGGGTTGACTGAAAATGCACACAAATGATAATGATATTGCATGATTTTAGGTGAAAAATGTGCAGAATAAAGATGCCAACTACAAACCAAAAATGTCCTCCTCAGTGTTAAAATCTTCAGGAGTGTATGAACTGTACATGGACATAGTCATACTTTGTTCCTCCACCTGCTTTTGAAGAGCATCAATTCTGGCTTCATAGTTCTGGAAAAATTAAATTGGTTTTTAAAGTCATCACGGAGTGACATTATCAGTGAGTTTAAAAGACAATGAACATACCTTTCGTTGTTCCTCAAATATATTGTCTGCTTCTTGTTTCTCTTTACGGAACTGTTCCTCTAGAGCCAATAATCGTTTATCCATCTCAGCTTTCAGATCGATACCTTGCTTCTCTAAGAGTTCTACTTGGGCAAAATCCCAATCCACTGTTTCATTTGCACTGGGTGTCTCAGCAGGAGATATTTTAGTTCCTGGCTGGTTCCCTTGAGCTAAATGGTCACGAAAGAAAAACAAGACAAATGCTCACAGACACTGTTTTATTTACAAGGAACCATTCCATAAAAAATTCAATCTATAACTTACGGTCCAGTTCATTTTCTGAAGCTTCAATCACACATGATTTGCGTTGTTCTCGAACTGCAATCAAGCAGAGTATCAAGTAGGTGAGTTTGAAAAATTACACAACTGTGTGGGAATGCAAATCAGTACAAAGAATGCAAGGATCCATTTCTAAAGTAGTCAAGAAGTTACCTTGATCTGGATGATTGAATCGAAAAACGTGGTTCTTTCCAAGAATGACTCTTGAGCCAGTCTTCAGGACAATTGCTGTGTTAATTTCCCGTCCATTGACATAGCACAGTGCTTCTTTCTTGGGCCTGAGTGTGACCACCCCATGCACATTTTCAAACACACAATGCTCACTTTGAATGAAAGAACCAGAAAGGTGAATGTCCTGCACAACACAAGACAACAATGATTGGTCAGACTTATTTCAATTTCAAAACTCTAGAATGGTTCAACATAGATTGGATTCAACTGAGGCGTTGAAAAGACACAGTCCAAACCATACCTGAGGAATATTAGCGTCACATGATCCCACTCGGGTCACTCCATCCTTAATGTAATAAATAAGACACTCTGACATGAATGGATCTTCATTGAGGTTCACCAAATGAGGAGTCTGAAAAAATGTATATAAGATAAGAAATTAGTTAACAGCATGGAAAAAATTATTCTGCCTGTTTTTAGCAAACTCTCTAACCTTTTTGGGGGAAAACACACCAACAGTTATACCATCTTCCTTGACAGCTACTCCCATTTCAGCAAAAACTGCTTCACGTTGCAAACGAATGGCTTCTGTTCGCTTCAATTTTTCCTCCCATGTTTCATTCAATTCTAAGAAATTAAAAGATAGAATTAAACATGGGAAACATCATTTGAAAACATGAAATTATTCTGGAAAAAAAAGAAATATATTTTACCTGCAATCAACTTTTCACTTGCTTGAAGCTGATCCACAGCATCTTCAGCAATGCTTGAACCTGAGGTCATGCGTGGGCGACCTCCTTCTGGCATTTTCATACGCATACCACCACCATCCTCTGGAAAAGTTCATCATGCACAAAAAAATGTTAATTCCAAGTAGAATTTTTTTTTTTTTAACTCTCCAATTAGCAGGAACACATGATTCATGCTCTTCTGAAGCAAATGGGGGGAAAGTACTGTAAGTACCGATGAATGCTTATGACCTGTACTAAGCAATGCACGCACATGCCAGAGTTCAAACTGTTAATGCATGGAACAAAATAAAAGTATGTAACATCATCTTTTTTCAAACCAATTGCTTTGCAAGCAAATTGAAAGTTTGCTAAAAGGCATGGACATAAAAGAACATTTTCTGCTAGATAGGCCAAATTACTGCCTTGGCCAAGACCCAAACATACATGATGCATAAAGCATACAAATGACAAAGAACTCTTAGAAAGAAGGGAAACACTCTCTTGAGCTAAAAAACAAGATTCAATAAAACTATAATTAAAAGCTCCATAAGCCTTGATGATGAATCCTGTTCAGCAGAATTCATACAAATCCTGTGCATACAATTACGTAAACTACACTAACTCTATGAATTTGTATAGACTACTACATTACTGTAACTCAATCACTCTCCTGTCTTATGAACATAAAAGCCGGGTTGAAAAACTTGAAAGCCATTTGGAAGCAAAACAGGATAGGCCTTTATGCTAATGCCACCAACTTGCTACATTAAACCTTGTCCACTTGGATACGAACACAAGGACTGTGTAGGCAATTCATAAGTTCCCAGGTACAATAATGAGGATGAGGTTTAGGAAGGGAGAAGCCATTCCAGACAAAGCCACAGTCGATGGAAATGGAAACCAGCAATGGCAGTTAATTGACATGCCCCAACACATTACTTACTAGAGGAATCTTTCTTTTCATAATAAACTTTTCCATCAGGCCCTGGGATGCATGAGGAATAGAATTGCAACAGGTGAACATTAAAATAAATTGGGGCTTGATGACTGAATAATGAATCATCCGTGCATTTAGTGGCAGGATAATTGAAGTATTTAATAGATTTTTCAAATGAGCTTTGAGAGAGACATAATATACAGACACATATATGGCAGTCCATAGATGATCTGCAACTATTCCATACTAACAATCAGTTTCCATAATGAAAGGAAAACCATGCTCAAGTCAGTATCTACAAACTATTCTCCAGGATAAGATCAGTCTAAACCAACTAGTTTTTTTTTTTTTGTTTTTTTTTTTTGCAATAGAAATTTAGAAAATTGATTAGATTTAAACTTTACCTTCTTGGACTTCAATCCCCTCAGCTTTAAGGAGATCACGAAGTCGCTGAATCTCCTCCTTGAGTTCTCGAATAAGCTTAGCATTGGCATCTTCATTCACAACAGCCTTGCATACAATCTGTTTAGCACGGTCCGCATACCTTACAACACACACACACAAAAGCAATGTTATGGACACACCACAATGGTTAAAAGGTGGACAGGAAAAAACACACAAAGGTTTGGAACACTTACCTCAGGGTGGACAGAGTCTCATCATAATTTATGTCAGCTGGACTGATGGCTGCAATCATTGCCGTTTTAGAATTGCCACCCAAATTTTCTCTTAAAAGCCATGTCAAAACAGAGTCACGGTAGGGAATGAAATCAGCTTTTTTCTTCTTCTTTGTGACCTGTAACGGCAACGGATCTTAAAATTATGCCAGTCACCAGCTGGATATAGCCCACATAAGCATTTGTTAAAACAAGCACTCACCGACTAAAGATGTTGGGAAGATAAGATGACATAAGATAAAAGAGTATATTAGTTAATATTTCACAGACTTTATTCAAAAAGGTCATAGGTATGTATGTACAGCTGAAAATACTCACAACTTCAGCTAATGCTGAAATAACTTTGCCCAGAGTAGTCAGGGACTTGTTTATGTTTGCACCTTCCTTCAAGCGAGTTCCCTTGGCACCAGTAGAGTCAGCTCTCTCAGACCCTGCCAGATCCACAAGAGATATTTTGCTCACTTTTTCTGTGGACAAGTTAGTCATTTCATCATGCCTAAGCTGAGTGAAGAAGATTGTAAAGACTGCATGTGAACGGCTAGAGGTTTCATTCATATTTGTGGCAGCAACAGTTCTGTGAAGAGGAAATAAAGAAAGTTGTTAAAACAAAGGCAACAATGACCACTCTCAATACAAACTGATGACAAGATAATAATCAGGCTGCTACCTGGCTTTGTTGCCTTCATCAATTAAATCATGGATATCTTGATAGTTTGTCACGGCCAATTTTGAGAGGTCCTCAACATAGGGGCCAAGAAGAGGATGCTCACGAACTCGTAAATTGCCTTTATTTTTAGGGTTCAGAAGATCCCTTACTCTCTCGCAGTAAATTTCCATGTAACTGACCTGAAAAGAAAGAAACAACGTCATAAGAACATGCATGCAGAGCACTCAGAATGACAGTTTTGTACTTCATTTACATACCTCGACTGAATAGTGGAGCAGTTCAGAGGTGGTGTCCGTGATACGATTAAACAAGTCACTACATATTTGAGGAATTATTCCTTCCTGTCCTTCTTCCTGTTTGCCCATCATTGTGAAGGATTTTCCAGCACCAGTTTGCCCATAAGCAAAGATACATACATTGTAGCCTGTTAAAATCGACAAGATTAATATAACATTGACAACCCACGATATAAAACCAGAAAAATTTAATTGTACCCACCTTCAAAGGCATGCTCGAGCATTTCCTCGCCAATGTCATTGTACACCATTTTCTGGGTTGCAAAACTTGGATCTGTTTCCTATAATTATATAAAACAAAAAGATATTTATATCTCTAAAAGCTAAAAATATTAGTGTATCAACCATAAAGAAACGGCAGCGTTTACTCACATCTGTGTGCGACCAGTACGAGTAGTCAAAATTGAAGTTCTTGTTGGCGTCATTTGTCTTTGGATTGGCTATGGCTATGGTGAAAAATTACAAAATGAATGTTACTGCAAGTTGTTATAGGTTGAGCGAAGGGAGAAAACAGCACGCAAATACTTACAGGTAGTATTGCCCGTCATCTCAATGATGCACTTGCTCTCCCTGGCAATCTCCCTGTTGTTGAAGGGCCGAACCCTCACAGCTACCTTGACCGACGACATTTTCACGTCTGTAAAACAAAGCAAAAATAGTCATTGGATCAAAGCCTTTGTTTAAGAAAATACAAAACAGAATATACAATATTTGCATACTTCAGTATCTTCCCTCTAGGTATCAGTGGTACTAATGAACATAGCTTGGTCAAGAAAAAGGGAGCACATTCGAAATGTGTGCTACGCTATCCCAATTGAAGTTGGGGGCATGGCTGTTAAGATTTCTTTCCGTCAAACTCCTTATCCTTCTGTCAGTCGTCTGACAGCAAACTAGGTTAGGGTGCCCATTCATAACAAAGAGATTTAAATCAAAATCATCACAGGAAGTTTTTAAGTATTGCCAATATGAAGTCACAAAGCCATACTTGATACTTTAGATAGCTTCGATGTCAAAGAAAATGAAGACTGTCTCAAAGGTGACGGACCGTATGGTATCATTTAATATCACCCTTATGGGGGAAATTCTGATCTGAATCAAATAAATCACTAGAGTATGAGCACCCTGAAGGGTTATGGGTTGCCTACCCTGCACCGCGCGAACTTTTCGCCGTTTTTGGCTGGCATCGCCAAACGCAAACGTTCTGAAACTCATTTCACAGAAAATTTTTGTCTTCGTTGAGGAATGTAAGCTTGAATTTGAACTTTTTTCATCGCCCGCCCCATGATTAGCTACGAAAAAGTCTGAATTGGTTGGTTGAATGGGTTTGCGGATCGCACGCAGCTAGGGGTGCGTTCCCTAATTTTGGATCCTGTCTGTTGGGTCACTTGGCCATGTTTTGGGGTTTTTCAGGTGCTGCTGCTGTTCATGACCCACGACGCAGTACCCACCCGATCAGAAGCAGACGACGCTCCGGACGACGAGTACAGACTCCGAGAAGTCCGAGAAGTTGGCTGGCTTCGCCGAGGCGGTCCTGGTGGCGCCTGGTTCCTGGAGCAGGCCGAGCAGGCCCAGCTGGAGAGGAAGACGAGAACGTTATGGCAGGGGCGTCGGCAAGCAAAGACGCAGCAGCTGTAACCGGAGCCGTGTCCTGGCGACGGTCGCGGGGGATGTTCTTACGTCAGCACTACCCGCCCCGCTACCCTACCGCCCCCGGCGCCACCCCCACGCCCCGCCCCCGCCCCCCGTCAGCACCAGCACCGCCAGCGCGGCCAAGGCCTGCTTCGGCGCGCTGGAGCCGGACCCGCGGTTTACGGGCGAAAATTTCCCCAGACGTCATCCCTGTCCGCTGCCTGTACCCCCGCACCGCGCCACCGCGGGCCGTGGGGCTGGCTGGGCTAGGCTAAGCCTCACGCCGTCCAGGGGGCGCGCGCCGCCATGGGGCCGCGCAGCAGCAGCAGCAAGCCCATACGGTGCGCCATTTCGGACCCCCAAGGGCGCCGTCGGGGCCGCGAGCCGCGAGTGCATGCTGAGAGGCTGCGGGGGCTGCTGGGGGCTCCCGAAGGCTGGGGGCCGAGAGCCTCGGCCGCAGCAAGGCGCAGCAAGGCGCAGCAAGGCCCCGTCGGGGGCCTCGGGGGCTCGGGGGCCGTCCGCCAAACGGATCGATGGGTGCGGGGCGAGCGGAGCGCGGCGGGCGGACCGAGTCCAGCCGGGGCACGGTGGCCGCACGCTGGGCTGGGCGGCTGGGCCGCGCGTGCACGACCAGCGCGCCAGCGGAGCGACGGCCGCGTTTTGGCGACGCCAAGCAGTGCGTCGCGGAGGTAGGGTTGCCACCCGGGCTGGTGACCAGGGTGCACGACGGCGTACTCACCAGCGAGGGCGCTAGGACGTCGCGCGGCCCATGGTGGAACGGCGGACGCTAGACACGGACTCGACGGCGGACCAGACGGAGGGCACGAGCGAGGCGACGACTGTCGAGGGCGCGCCCCGCGTCCCGACTGCCCGAACCCGAGGCGCCCCGCCGCCACACCCCGCCGCGCCCCGCCACGCCCCGCCGCCACGCCCGCCACGGCGCGCGAGGGTGGCCGCGAGGGGTGGGGTGACGTCACGGCCACACCCAATCGATAAGAACTATACTCCGCGGCCCGGGCTCTGGGCGGGCCGTCCGGGCGGGGCGTCCTGCCTTGGGCTTGTGTTTCGCGCCGGGGGTTGCAGCGGGGGCGGACGGGGTGGTCGGGGGCAGGGCGGGGGCGGCGGGGGCGGCGGGGGCGTACTCGGACCCAATGCGTCGTCCTACGCCACACGCGTAAAGGCTCGCCAGCCCCGGCACGCCGCGTAACCCGTGCCGTGGTAGTTTACACTGTGCGTGCGGTGACCCTAGGTCACAGGCGCGGCGCGAGTCAAAGACCCCCCTCCCCCACCCCCTCGCTCTGTCCGACCAGTCCGACGTCCCCGCGCGGGGACACTCAATACGCTCCAATCATCGATGTCGGTCGACCCAAGGGCAAACAGTGTAGGGCCACGAGGGCCACCAGTGTAGCACGCGGGTCAAAGTGTCCCGACTGGTGGAGGACAGGCTGACTGACGACTCTGGATAGTCCTCTCACACCGCACCGGACGATTCCCTGAATTATTTCGTGCGAAAAACTGAGCTTTGTTCAGCACCAGCTCGGACGGGTCTCTTCTCAGACAGCACGAAGGGGGTCGGTTGGCTTCGACCTGCACAATTCCGAATGCAGCCGACCGCTGAAACTTTCTTCCAGGGGGGACTGCCCTTCGCTTTGCTCGGCGAAAACAAGGCGGCGCTACCCACCGCGTCGGGGGTGGCCGCGCGCCGCGCGCGGGGTATGGACGGCGCTACCCCTGGGCAGCGGAACGCCGCAAGGGGTAGCGCCGCGTCGGGCTGTCGAGCTGCGTTAGGAATTCGGAGACTCTGACAGACACAACAGACACCCGCATGCACCCGTCCCATCAGCCCCATCCCATCGGCATTTCACGCCTGCGTTCGGTGTGTCGTCTTGTGGTGCCCACACCTCCCGGTGTGACGTCGTCCGTCCGCCCGTCCGCAGCAGACTGATTCCGAGAGTCTCGCTCTGTCTCTCTCGCACTCACGGCGCAGGGCGAGACGGACTTGTTGGTCCGCGCGTGATTGCATTCCCAGCCACCCACACACCTGCACCGCCAGGTAGACCCACACACCGCCGGCGGGGGGTTCGTTTTGTTCCCCAACAGCTGACCTCCCCCCCCCACTGCCCGCTGCAATGAATGAATTGATACTCTCCCCTCGTCTGGGTCTCTGGGTGATCCTGGATCTCCCGCAGGGACCGTCGGTAAAGCACGACGGCGTCAAGGTGCGGCGGCAAACAGACTTTGCAGACTCACCCGGCGAAAAACAGTCGTTTTCTTCGCTCTGTCTCTCTCGCACTCGTGGAGCGTCCCTCAAGGTGGGAGAGAGACAGAGCGACGACGACGCGGCCGCCGCCGGTCCCGCGCGCAGCCCGCGGGGTGCTGAATGGCCGAAAGGGAGCGACAAAGCGCCCCGCGCCGCCACCACGCCGCCACCAGCGTTTCATCCCTGTTTCACATTCTCTTCCTCCTGCAGCCTGATTCCGGACGGGGATTCGTCGCTCTGTCTCGCTCGCACCCCTACGGAAGGCCCGCTGGTGTTCGCTGGCGCGTGCAATCCGCACCGCGCACCGCGCCGCCAAGACTGCAGCGCGATGCTCCAAGCCAGCCTCCAGCTCCCTCCAGGAGCGATTCCGGAGCATCGCTCGGTCGCTCTGTCTCTCTCGCACCATCTCACACCCCGCGCGACGCTCCATGAGGTGGGACAGAGACAGAGCGACGAGACGATCCGCACCAGAGCGCCGCCGCGTCCGCGTCTCACCGGCCGGGTGTATTATAGCAGCAAGGCGGGGCACCCGGCCGTCGCGTCGTCCCGGCGGCGCGGTCCCCAGGGCGGACAAAACCTACAAAACAAGAAGATCTCTCTGCTCGCGGACGCGGCACGGCGTCGTGTGTGTGTGTGTGTGTGTGTGTGTGTGTGTGCATGTGGGTGCGTGTGTGTGCGTATCAATCACATCCCTTCCCCTCCGTGGTCCAGCGCCAAGGCGACGCACGGGGTAGTTTGGCTGGGCTGGCGACGGCCCGGCACCCCCTCCCCCCTTCCCACCCCTGCGTCGCCCCCACCCCTCCCTGGGCGTCCTCTCCGCTGGGTCCGCTGGCGAGGTTCGCCTCGCGCCTCGCGGCCCGACGTCGACGGCGGCATCCTCCTCCCTTCGGCTCGGCTCTCGCTGGCTCGGCGTCGGCGTCGGCGTCGGCTCGGCTCGGCAGTCGGCCGGCCGCCCTCCTCGCTACAGCACGTCGGACCGTCGCCCAGCGTCGCCGCGCCGCCGGCACGCACGTCGCTCGCGTCGCGAAGCTCGCCTCGCCACCCCTGCGCTCCCACGAGGGACGGCGCCGCGGACAGCCGCCGGACCATGGCCCCGGAGCAGGCCCCGGAGGCCGGCACGCTGGCCAGCAGGCCCCCGGACGCCGGCGCCACGTCCGCGACCACGTGCACGACGAGCCCCGAAAGGGCGACCCGCGTCCCGCACCGGGCTCCGCGTGTGTGAGTGTGTGTGTGTGTGTTCGAGTGCCGTGGATATGATGCCCACGCGACATCCGCCCCTGGCGCTGCTGGCCGTGCTGCTGTGGCTGTCAGGTGGGTCACACACTGACGGAGTGACTCGGGACGGGGAATGACTCCACTTCGAGGGGCCTCTAGCCTCGCGCGGGGTGCTGCCGAGCTCACCCGAAACGCGTATGGACTGTCACTACTACGTGCAGTTGCATGTCATGTACAAATTTCTACAAAAATTAGGCACAATTTCATAAATACTCAAGCACAATGCGGAAAACTATTACTTTAGCTTACAGTAATCGGTGTTTGAATAAGTCGACGTCGCAATTGTACAATTATGGTCAATATGAACGTACAGAAACATCTAGTGTGCAGGCCGAGTTCGAGATGACGGTTCAAGATCTCCCTCCAGCATGCGAGCGCTTCTCGGAACGCTTGTGCCCCTCGACTGTGTTGCTGCCGTGCCGGTCCAGCGTGCTTCCATCTCTCTCTCTCTCTCTCCAGTCACGCACACAGACGTCTGCTCGCTGCGTCTGTTGATACAGCTCGAGCATCGCCCGTCCGGACCCTTCCATCTTCCTTCTCTGTCGCTCCGCTCGACTCCGCTACACTGCCACAGAAAAACAGGACCAGCGCCCTGTGGCACAGGCTGTGCCCTCCCCGTCCTCGGCCCTCGCACGGCGCGGCTTCGGCCTGAAAGGTCCTGGAAGCCTGGAATGAATGGGTGTCTGATGGTCCTTGGGCCTCAAGGCCTTCCAGCCGGTCGGGCGCGCCCTTGAGCCGCGAGCCGTATCGGGTGGGGTGTCATAACAAATATTTTCACCTGGCGTCAGCAGCGTCAGCAGCGTCAGCAAGGAGACTGATTCCGAGAGTCGTTTTCGTCGCCCTGCCTCTCTCGCACACCCACGGGACGCCCTATGAGTGCGTGAGAGATGGAGCGGCAAAGACCCGTTTTGAGCTCCAGAGTTGCTAAATAGGACTCGAACCGAACGCGTGACCCCACCAATGGGTTCCTCGTTCGGAGAGCAATCCATTGGTGGGGTCACACGTTCGGTACGAGTCCCATTTAGCGACTCTGGAGCTCAAAACGCGTCTAGAGTTTTGTCCGCCTCCACCGGTCTTCTGGCCCACTGTGACCCCGCAGGCCGGCCCTGGCTCCGCCACTGGCCGTCCTTGAGGCGCGCATCGGAGTGCATTAAGGAGATAAAAACTTCCGGCCAGAGGGCGCTACGCGCTACGCAGCAGCGGCGGCGGTGCCGTGGCGCAGCTGAGACGCCCCCGTCTGGCTGGCAAGGCGGTGCCGGTTGACACCGACTTATTCTTCGCTACGCACGACAGCTCTTACTTAGCACTACGGCGGGGCGGGGCGTGGTGGGGTGGGGTGGGGTGGGTACAGCTTGCGGCGGCCGCACCAAGTTCTGGCCCGCCCCGTGCAAACAGAGTTTGGATGCAATGCGGATGCATTTGCACTTTGCAGTGGTGTCGCGCAATCAATGCAGGCCGTGCAGGCGGTGCAGGCTGCTCCCTGGTTGGCGCTGCCCGCTGCTGCACCACGCTGCACCCTCCTGCTTGTAATAACCGAGCCGCGGTCGATCCCGATGAAAAAACAAAGAGGCCTGTCGCGCACGGCGCGCTGCGCTCGCCTCGGCTGGCTCGGGGGCTGTCACTCTCGTGAAACACAAGTGTGGCGTTGAAATCAGAGACCAATCCGAACGCGCTGCTGTTGTCGGCAGTAGAATGATGAGAAAGGGGATGCAAAGCCGGAATCGCTTTTGCGAGGGTCTGATCTATACGAACGCCGTCATGCGTTTCAAAATCGAAAGCAGAAACTCCGGGTCGGGGGTCGAACCACGGACCTTCGATTCCACAGCCCACCGCGCTAACCACTGCGCCGCGGGGTCTGGCGGCCTGGCGGCGCCGTGTGGTAGGGCGCGGGAAATGTTATTATCGCCGCTGTCACTACACTGCCGCCGTATCCCCGCCTCAGGACGTCCAGGGCGGCGGGGACGGCCGGGACACCCCCACATCCTTGTCATTTCCGGGGCAAGCGGGCAAAAGGGGCCGCCGGGGCCGCGGGGACGACGAGGACGGCGAGGCGAGGCTCTTTCCGAAAAGAATTCCTCGCCGATCGGACATCGGACGTGGACGTCCAGTTCCCCGGCGGTCGCCGAAAGTCCGGCCGGCCGTCCGTCGCGCCGTCGTCATATCGCCGTGGTTCTGGCCACGACGTCCTCGCCACGCCGGGCCGCGCCGGGCCGGCCGGCCAGACCGCCTGCTTGGATCTGAGTTCCGGTCCAACGCACAGTGATGCGGCCCGGGGCGTGGCGGGCGTGGCGGGGACGGGGAGGCGAGGCCTGGAGAGGGGAGACA